AAACAGCAAAATTTTTTCATGATCACTAGGTGAATTTTTCTGATGATCATTATAATTTCTAAACTAAATTATTTTAGATTTACATTTAAAACAAGCTTTGATCATATGAAAGATATTTATCATAACCAGTAAGCATGACACATAAACCATTTTTAACATTCATGTAATTATATAATTAAAGACATGTTGGTTACATTCTGTTTGTATTTGATAATACAATGCTACTAGTAGTTGCTATATAGCACACCTTGCAGAATAATAATAGTGGAAATGCCTAATAAACATTTATGGCATTAAGTATATAACTTCAAATTTTCACTCTGATAATTTTTGCCTAATCTTTGGCAGAAAAAAATTTTGAGTTTTTCTCAAAGGGTGAATTTGCTGGCACTGATGTGGAGATGGGTAAAGAGTTACAATAAACTTGCATGGTTTGAAGTCTGAGCTTTTCTATATCTATGAACTGTCTTGTAGTACCAAATTTCTAACTTAACTTATTACATAGAGGTTTGGATAGAAGGTCTCTAGAGTCTATGCTGACAACAGCAGGTAGAAATTTTAAAGAATATATCTGTTTTGAATAGCATTATTATAAAATAAATTTACGTTCCTAGACATGCTAATGAGCCATATATTTGGCATGATAATGAGCCTAAATATTTGGCAAAACATTCAAGTATTATTCACTTTATTTTTTTTGAAAAAACGTAAGAAAAATGTGTTGTTTTACGCCAAAACATTGATACCCACAAAATACATTTTGTATTGCTCTAAAAACGCTGAAAATGGCATTTTCAAGACTCTGAAATTCAAAATTTCTCAGGGGAGAATGCCTCAGACCCCCCCAGGGGCGGAGCGCCTCCGACGTTTTATGACTGATGTTTGAAAAATCCTAGATCCGCCCCTGACAACAGGGACCTTAAGATTTCACGACGCGCTTGTCAACAACGCGAACGGAAGTACAATTAAGACAAATGCGCATGCGCAAGTGTCGTTTATTTTTTTGCACGCGTACGACGCGGCGTTTTTACTTGTTTTGGAGTTGTCGTAGAGTGGAAGACCATCTTGCGAATTGGAGAAAATAAAAAGGTTGAAAAGTCCTATTTCTGCTTCTCTGGTAAGTGAAAATGTGCTTTCCCTCTGTCAAACGATAAAATGCCTAACTGTTAAACCATACACATTTGGTAAAAAATTTATAATAAAACATAATCTCAAAGACATCTTGTAAACTCAAATTTTATTTGTAATAGGCAATTCTTACTTCAGAAATTATGACTTCTGAAGCATCACTCCAGAAGTTCACCGTAAGTTAAACTTTTTCTTTGGTGAGAAAGGGCATAAAATCCTAGGATATCAGTAGATATTGATAATTTTAATCAAATCAATAACAAAGCATATATTCTTTGCTGCTATCAATGTTGTTTTTCAAGTATGGGAAGGAATAAAGCCCTTACAAAGTTTTGGGTATTTAATGTGCATTAGACACTCTGTGAACTTTAACTTTTAAGTCTCATGTGAACTTTTAAGTCAGCAAAGTATTAAAACATGTATGAAATATTATACATCCAAATAATTCTAATCTATACTGAATTAGATATGTCAGCATATACTAGTACTTTTAACCCTTTCATTCAGTTTCTACTTAAGAGAATTGACTTTGTATATTGCTCGATTCCTACTCATCATGTCTAAATTCTGTTTAGAATTGGCTTTGTGATAAATGGACTGCAAAACATGACATTGAATTGTGCAAAGAGGTAGTGGTGTCACAAATCTTTAGACAAGAAAAGAAATCTATTGAAAGAGGAAAGTTATTGGGACAGCATTGCCAGAAAGTTGGATTCATGACCATCTATACTCAATTAGATCAGCGATCGGTTAGAGATCCTGCACAAAGAATCGATAATAACTACGTAAAGGAGAGAGAAGAGCTGCAAGTGGGATTTCTCAGAACATGATAGAGCTGGATGACTTACTAGAGAGGAGAATTAATGCTAGAGAATAAAATGATGTTGTGGCTGCAGAAATAATGCTGCTGAAAGGAAAGCGATGCTGATAAACTAGCTGCAGAAGAAATGCGAAAAACCATGGAGCATCTAAGAAACAAACAGAGAAAAATAGTGAGGGTCAG